ACAGCCTCATGACTCACATCAACACATCACCACTGTAGGACAAACCAACAGACAAGTTTGTATCCCTTAGCTGTTGGAAACCCCTCCAACCACCCTTACCTGGATCCCTGTGATTAACTCCTCTCTGACTATAGGTAGCATTTATATTGTGTATGGAGAATCTCTTCCATCAAGGGAAAAAAATCATTTCTGATTATAATGAATCGCATTGCAATTTTTAAAAGAAATGACATGTGTGTCAGATATGTATGAGGACCTCCTTGCTTTGCACTCACCTCTCAAGGTAGGCATGTAGTCTGATTTTTTATCTTGGCCCTTTGGGGGGGTGACAAGAAAATTCAGAAGAAAGGTTCTGTTGAAGACAAAGGCATAATTGCAGTTATAATCATTAGTTTATTTTCAGTTATCTTAATTAAGAACATAGGGAATTGTGATCCACATTAATTTATTTTATACTTTCCCTCCATCCCTCTCCTTCCTTATATTAGAACCACTGACAACATAGGAGCAGACAGGTATGAATGATCCTCCTCCTCCTTGCCTGAATCATTCTCTTGAAGGAGGTCTTAAGAGAAGGAACAGTGAGTTCCTAACCCTCAAATAGCTCCTTCTCATCTAGTCTACTGATCCTCATCATTAAAGTTATTCTTTTCTTATGTGCCTGAGTCCAAAATATCCTTGTACTTTAGATATATGTTTCTAAAAATGGGTAATTTTTAACTGGTAGAATTATTACTGCCTGAGCATAGATTAATTCATTCAATCAGATATGAAATTAACACAGACACACACAGGTTGAGGGAGGTGGAACTGACACTACCCAGGCAGGCTTCTTAAGAGGACAGAGGTAAATCTGGACAGTAGAAGATCACTATGGGGCATTGGTGTTTCATTGGTAGAATTCTCCAGATTTAATTCCCAACCAACGAACTTCATGCATAGGTGCCAATCTATTAGTGGAGGCTTGTATGTTGATTTGGTGCTGAACAGAATTCAGCAGAGCATCTAGACTAAGATAAACTAGAAAGAAAGGTCTGGTGAAAATCAGCCAGTGAAATCCTTATGGGTCACAACAGTTCAATCTGCAACTCCTCAGGGAGATGGCCCAACACTAGGCAGCATTTCATTCAGTTGTGCAAGGGGTCACCATTAGCTGAGTGCCAACTCAACAGCTGCTAACAACTAGAACAGTAGAAGATTACTGCTTGGGGACCAGACTCCCACAAAGCAAGGAGAGGAGAGGACAGTTGATATGTCTATCACCCTCTGACTAGAACTAATGAAATTAACGGCATGCAATGGCTTAAAGGTAATGTGTAGAAGAAAAAGGAAGGACTTTAGGAAATTAGAATAAATTTACCTAATATCTGCATCAGTGGTCCTGAACCCTAGCAGTGCGTTAGAATCACTGGGGAGGTTTTAAAAAAGTATCATGGTGCCACCTCTAAAAGTTTCTCATTTTTCTTGGATGGGACCTAAACAGTGGTAATATTATAAAATTTCCCTAAGTGATTCTAATGTGCAGCCAGTGTTGGAAACCACTGACTCTGGAATCAATCACTAATAATAACATGCTAGGTATAATTCTGACTTGTCTTCATGTGAAAAAAAAGGAAAGAGAAGTTGGGAAAATTATTATTTGTCCATAGCACTGAAGATGAGAATTTCCCTATGGTGGCCTGTATGAATCAATGATGAAAATACATAGGAAAGGAGAAATATTAAACTGGAAGATGTTTAAAAGGAATGATATCTCCTGACAGCACTGTGACAGACCAGAGAGAAGCAGTAGGAGAGTGCTTACACCAGATGGGAGGCAAATCTCTACACTCCTAAGATAGTTCAAGAAAGCTTGATATCAGTGGTTCTCAAACTTGATAGTACATGGAATCATCTGGGGATTTTTCAAAACTCCCAAGTTTTGGAATGTGCCACCATTTCCACTTAAGTAGAACCTCTAAGGGTGGGGCCCAGGCAACTGTATTTTTTTTTTAAGCTTCCGAGTTGATTCCAACGTTCAGCCTTGGTTGAGAATGTAATTATTGTTTATTTTCAGTGAAACTTGGCCTTTTTCAGCTAGAAGGGATGTAGAGAGGTCAGTCACTTCCCATACATAGAGACTCAAGGACTAGAAAAAAAAGATCAAAGTTTAGGTAAGAGTAAGGAAAACGGAACTAGGTAAAGAAAAGAGATAGAAGAGAAAAAGAGGAACAAAGTAACCAAAGGAAAGAGAATGAAAAGGCAAGAAAAATGGGAGAGAGCAGTGTAGTAACTCAGGCCACAGGGTTTCCAGTTCCCTGAATGATCCATCATGGCTCTACACCCAGATCTCTTGCAACACCGGGTCATATCAGGTAATGTTGGTCCTATCAGATGCTGGCATGGGAGACTCTAGATCATCTCTTTTCTTATTGCTGAGTGCATTCCTTGTGCCAACCTGTACACTCTTTTACTGAACTTTGTCGTTTTTCCTTTACTCCGAATCCAACCAACCAACTCACTACCATCAAGTCGAATCCAACTCATAGCGACCCCTCTTTGGGTTTCTGAGGCAGTATCACTACGGAAGTAGATTGCCCAAACTTCCTTCTGAGTGGCTGATGGATTTGAACCACCAGCCTTCTGGTTAGCAGTAGCTGATGCATAACAGTAAATGATTTCTGAATTATAGGAATAGAAAATAGGACATATAATGGCCCAGCCTTCTAGCCTGAACATTCTCTCTAACACCCTTCAATGGGTCCCTAGCTCTACTTACATCACTCCAGTACTCAAGGTCATTATACCCTCTTGAAAATCAAATTATTAGGAAGTTCTCTGTGTAAGATCAGAATATTGTTTCCCAAGAATTTTCACCCTTTGAATGTAGTTCAACCAATTGGAATCATAATGAACATATGAGCTATTGTGGGATCCTGAGACTTCCTACCTTCTCTCATTTCTCTGTTTCATCACTTCTTCTATGAAGTCATGTAAAATCTACCCTCCTCCCCCACCACCTTGTCACTCTGGTTACTCTCCACCAAATTAATTTAAGTCTACATGCATTTGTTTGGATGTGGTCCACATACTCCAGAAATAATATGCAGAGTTCGAGGAGGTGTTCACTTGGCACTTCAGAAAAACTCACAGGATACAATATTAAGGTGGTACTTTTAGCAACATTCTGTATGCCAGCAACTCCGACACTGTTTGATTTCATCAAACTTTTAAATGAAAAAATTAGTACAAAAATCTCACCTCTGATAATCTGGAGATCCATTTTGCAGAGGTTACTTGACACTTTAAGGCTTCTCTTATCTGGATATTAAACAAAAGAAGTTAATAATGAAAAACTGTAAGATGTTGACATATGTACTTGGGCCTGACAAATATCATGGCAAGGATATGTGTTACCAGCTTGCTCTAGTTGACACACTAAGGAAGGATCAATAACATGGTGGTACAGTCTAGGAAAAGAGGAGATATGAGAGAGGTGGAATGGTATATCCAAAGAGGAAATGTACTGCTGTTGAGTCATAATGCCCTATAGGGCTTCCAAGACTGTAATCTTTACAAAAGCAGACTGCCACATCTTTCTCCTATGGATCAGATGGTAGGTTCAAATCATTGACCTTTTTGTTAATAGCTGAGCGCTTTAACCACTGTGCCACCAGGTCATCTTATGGAACTGGTATGTTGTTGTTGTTGTCATGTGCTGTTGAGTCGGACCCAACTCATAGCAACCCTTCCTTGGGTTCCCAAGGCAGTATCACTACAGAAGTAGATTGCCCAATCTTCCTTCCGAGGAGTGGCTAGTGGGTTTGAACCTCCAACCTTCTGGTTAGCAGTAAGCCTTAGGCAGTAAGCCACCAGAGGTCCTAGGATATTGAAGAAACATTTGATGTGTTGTTCATTTGATCATTTTTTGTGCTTGGAAAATTCCCTATTTTGCCTCCATTGCTCGCCCAGGTAAAAGCCAGAAACAACCTCCCTTGCATCTAAGATGCAGGCATGTAACTCATGATTAGCAGTTGTGTCGCCAATCAGACAAAACAATGCAAAGACGTAGGCTCCAATAGTCAGGGTGGAGCTTATGTATACAATTATAAGTTAAGCACCAGTGAGCTGTGCTATCTGTGGCAAGCAAAGGAGAGAGGGCAATGGTGTCTCTTGTGGAGCAGTTCTGTGCCATACATTAGGAATTATTCCTAATATGCAGCCCTCAAAAATGTCGAAAAGAGACCCTCCTGAAGATGATACCCAAGCTTTAATAAATTTCTTTCTGCTTCAACTAGTCAGAGTGGGTATCTGTTGGGATCTTGGGCAAGTTGCCTATCACTCCAAGTCTCAGCTCTCTCATCTGTAAAAGTATTTAAGAATTAATGGTAATGAGTACAAAACACTTAGACCCATAAAAGCTTGGAAGATGGTAGATATTACTTGTATTGTGAAGAACAGAGATGCTCTGGTCATGTGCCTGGACAAATGATTGAGAAAGACTGTCACTGATTGGTCTCTACATATGAGCATTTTAGAGCCAAATGTGATGATGCAAAGAAAACAACAAAAAGGATTCACAGTACCTTCGGGTCCAGGATTGTTCCAAACACCAAGATGAAGAAGCCCTGAGAAACACAGAAGATAGGAGAAGAGCTATTTACAAAACAACAATGGTGGTAGTAGTAGTAGTAGTAGTAGTAGCAGTAATAATAATAATAAACAGCATTCATTATCAGTTCCTATTTTGGTAAAAAGAAAACAATCTTATTAAATATTTGAAACTCTCGTTTTGAGGTCACAACAACTAGATTCATTCATTCAACAAATATCAATTGAATATTTTCTACATGCCAGCCCTTGTTCAGTAAACCAAACAGACCAAGGTCTTTGCCTTTATACAAGAATATTTTAGAAATTTCTTTTAAAATTGTGCAAAATAAAAATCCTTTGCACTTAACATGAGCTGTGCATCTTACCTGAATATAATGGTCAAAGAAAGAGTCACAAATGTTAAGTAATGGATGGCAGCCTCGCAATGCCTGATCACTAATAAAGGAATCTTCCACAGAATAGAGCATTA